AGCTAGGTTAGAGACCATTGGACTTGTTTTACTGTTTAGCATGTTGAAGTATGTTTATAGCATGTAAATGTATCGAATCATGGAAGTTGGATCATAAAAGTTAGTCGGGAATTGCGGAATCGAATTTTACCGACAATGCAACTCCCATACTTTGACAATGTATAACTCACAAACCGTTAGTCAGAATAATCTCATATTTTGCAGTTAGAAAGATTTACTGTATACTACAACTTTCTAGAAGGGTCGAAAATCCATTTATGACTCTAGGTGGCTCGAAACAGTGTGTTTTCAGGTTTGTTTACACTGTATTCGGGATTAATTTGCAGTTTTGTAAAATTCATATAAAATAGATGGATGATCCAAATGAGATGATTCCAAAACTAATAGACTCGTATGATACCAACCTACAACTTTCATTTAGAAAATATAATCTGGATTGGTCTCTAAGTAGAGTAAAAATGCTTAGAAATAAGAGGGACGAAAGCGGTTCAATTGAAAATGCACAAGGCTAGTGTTACGGTTGAGTTCTCAATTCGTATCCGGTTGTCCTTCTTGAAGTCTACGTTGTTTAAGTCTTGGTTTAAAAATGCGCGCATAATGCGCTGTGATGCGTGATGCGCTGTGATGCGCGATGCGCTGTGATGCGCTGAAGAAAACGCATCAAAGGGTCTGATGCGTTGCGATTCCATGATTCACGCACATCACCTACGCATCACACGATGCGTGCATCACTTATGCATCAGCGCATCATGTATGTTGCATTTTAGGGCTCCCTTTTTCAGTTTTTAGTTGGGCTTTTTAGTTGGGCTTCTTAGTTAAGTAAAATAGAACGTGAGACTGTGAGAGACCTAATAGAAGAAGCTGACAGCGAAGAAGTAGAAGTCGCACTGTGAGAGACCTAGCATCGCATATCAATTAAAACGTGACGTGAGTACCCGACAACCAGCAAAGAAGTAGAAAACGAACTTTTTAAGATTCTAATGCCACTTTTTTAACTACTTTATGTTATAAATGAAATATTTTGATAGGTAAGTATTTTTAAGGTAAAAATTGATATGTAGAATTAATTTATAAATATTTTGTGAATACCGGGCGCATCAAGTGCGTGATGCGAGCGCATCAGCATCATGCATCACGCATCGGCTTCCGGGACCCTTAACGCATCGGCTTCCGGGACCCTTAACGCATCGGAACGCATCGCGCTTTTTAAAACCAAGGTTTAAGTACATTAAGACCTAAGTAATTTTATTAGAATAATCATGTTAAGGTTTTTATGCTTTGTAAATAGTAACCTGTTTATGCATTCGTTAGGCATGCGGACAAATCAAACTTGATCGTGAATTTCCGATTGATCGTGCGTTAATTGTCAAATTCGGTTAAGGTACAGATTTATATCTCACTTGACACGGGGATAACCATTTGTACAAGGCTTCCTAATCCGAATATATTGGTTCCAAATTCTCATTGTGCTCATCAATTACAATTGAGCTTTTGTTTCCTTTCGAAATATGATGTACATTCTTATTTGGAACATGGATCATTTTGATCACTTGACTTGTTTGATTGCTTCATTTGTGAAACATTTTTACTATAGACTCAATAACCGGAGCACCGGTATTGAGATGTTTCCATGGTGGCTAAAACGATCATGGCGTCCTCATTTTTATAGTCCTTAAAGTTGGACTTGATTATGCATCGGTCGAATAGAGGGCGTATAGATCGATCCTAGGAACCGTTATCGGATAATAAATTGTGGTCGTGGTTAAATCCACGGAGAGGATTGTTGTGTTCTGCTCGCACCCCTTTCCTCACTTATGCCTGAACGGACTGATCATCCTTTGGGAACAATGCGTCCTCGTGATGCTGTTTGGTCTTTGGACCCTTGACATGCCTTCAGGGTTTTTTGACTTTCTTTTGGAATATTACTTAGCATTATAAATTGCTTTTGAACTTGTTATCTCGTATTCATTGTTTAGTTATTATTATCTGTTCACCGAGCATTAAGCTCAGCCGAGATTTTCTTGTCCTCGGCAGGTACATGACTTAGCARGGATTTTGGGATGAGAGCTACGAAGATGACAATATTGAAGAACCCATTACGTCATACTTTTGCTAACTTTTGATGACTAATGTAGACATACTGGTATTTTGGGACTGTATTTAGAGACATGTTATCTCCGTTTGTGGTTATGTAATTATCTTTTGATAAATTTTATTAGTTGCTCCGTTTTATATAATGCGTTGATTTTTTTAACCAATTGTGGCATCTCCCGTCTTTAACCACGCGGGACGGGGGTGTTACACAAGAGGTGACTGTGAACACAACGTAAACAACCTTAATAAATTTTTTACTAGGGTGTTCATATTGTGCATACAATATGTTCACAAATTATACCAAATCTCGTAGATTTAGAGTGTGTTCGCAATGTATTCACAAATTATAATAGTATTTCTAAGAAAGTGTTCACAATGTGTTCACCTCGAGTTCATATTCATTATGTGTGTGTACGTGTATGTTATGGAGAGAGGAGAGAGAAAATATGAGAAGAGATAGGGAGAAAAATAGGAGAGAGGAGAGGAGAGATAGGAGAAAGAAATAGGAAAGAGGAGAGAGAATGAGAGGTATTTAATTTATATTAGATTTTTTTTCAAATAAGTTTTTTTTGAAGTATATAATATTTATATACGGCAAATGCAACAAATAAACTCACACCCCTCTTGAACCCTTGACCTCCTAGGAGGCCAAGGACTACGATACCGCTAGGCTAAAGGCCCTTTGGTAATAAGTTTTTGCTATCTAAATTGGATCAAATATCACAAATTAGCAAGTTCTTAAAAAAAGGTCCCCTATATATACACACACAAGGCAGATATGGGGTTTTGAGCTACACCTTGTATCTGTCTCGTCGGTTTTACAAATTGTCCCGATATTTACCCCTGCCAACTCTTTAAAAACCTATATCCACCCTCATACAGGTTGCGTGTGGAGGGACAGCAAAAATCTGCCCTATTGCCATCCCTAGTAAGCTTTTAGTAAGTGGAATCAAAATATGTGGTTAGTGGGCACCCACAGTATGTATGCATATACACATATATGCATATATATATATATATATATATATATATATATATATGTCCACATTCTAGTCTGTCATTAAAATGTTCCATTCTAGAAGAAAAAATCCAAGTTCAAAAGATGGGGGAAGGAACTATCAATGTGAGTGTATATCACTACGGTTTTCAAAATCGGTTGAGGCATATACCTTGTAGCCCTAAAACATTCCTAAGGCGTCGCCTCTTGCTGCTTGTATTAGTCATAACTCATAACTCATACACCTCATAAAGGTGAGGTAGTGAGGTGTTTCATAGACGTACTCCTCTGTTTAGACATAAAATTTGTTTTTTATTCTTCACACCTCCTCTCTTTGTTTAATAGAAAACTTAAAAGTCAAACCCAACCCTAAAGTTTCAAAACTGGCGGCTTTTTCTCTCTTTCACCACAAGCGACTTCCTTCTCCCCCCGAATCACTCTTTTCTCTCATAGATTGACCTTGTTCTTTTCCTTCTCACACACAAGTGGCCTAGTTTCTCTCCCCTGCTCATGAACCTTGTACCTAGTTCCTGGTTGTGAGTATATAATATCTTTTGTGTTAGTAACTTGGTATATAGAGTATATGTTATATATTTTGTGTATGTATGTATTTTATTTGTTAATATATATGGGGTATGTATATTGTTTTTAGTTGGTATATTATATGTAATATACTTTGTATATGTTATAGATTTAATGAATTTTATTTGTTAATATATATGGTGTATGTATATTGACTTTTTGTTAGTACACTATATAATATATATATATATATATATATATATTGTGTATGTTATATATTTAATGAATTATATTTTTTTATGCCTCGTGGCTTACGCCTCGCCTCACCGAGGGAAAACACCTCAAGGCCCGATTCCCTTTTTTGCTATTCAAGATGCAAGGAGCATCGAGGCATAAGGATCCTATTGGGGCCTAAATGCAAGGTGCAACACTTACAAATATGTGTGTGTGTGTGTGTGAATGCATATAAATTAATTTTACATTCCACTAAAAATAAGTCTTAAATTAATGGTTAGTAATTAATCCTTGGATTAAGTCTCACAAGATATAAAAGAAACCAAGTTTACTTATTAATCAGGGTAGTAAGCTAACTAGCTTGTAATTCCTAAACTAGTTCAAAAAAAATAAGGAAACCCAATTTGAAAATATTTGGGTTCAAATTGAAATAAGCATCAACATTTTACAGCCACTTTAGAACAATTAGTCATGGTTATAATGGTAAATGCAAAACCCAACGGTTGTGATTATTTCCCGAGTCTAATATGAGTTTTAGAAATCAAACTAAACTTCCCATGTTTACACAAAACTGAAAATAATTATACTTTATGGGTTATTTAACACTAGAAGGTTACTCGGTTGTCTCATCGGCTCACCCTGCTTTTGAACAACCCTAAAGCCGGCATGTACACAAGATGACTGTAGTATAAATGGTTGTGCTTATTGCCCAAGTTTTATATGAGTTTCTGAAATCAAATTTTAACTTCCCATGTTTACACAATCTGAAAATAATTATAGTTCATCTATGATGCGTTCATTTAAGTATCCACAGATCCACAGTTTAATCCCCCTTGGTCGTTCAACACTAGAAGGTTACCCGACTGTCTCAAAGGCTCACCCTGAACGCTTTGGACGACACTGAAGCCGGCATGTGCACAAGAGGAGTGTAGTAGATATGTCGATGTTAAGGTGAATGTGTGGGCCCAAAATCAGGGATATAATTAGAAATTATTATATATATTTCATAGAGAAAACAAAGTTGGCATGTATACTTCATTTTATCTTTCATTTTTATTCCCGAGTAGTTTGCGACATGTACCTTTATGCATTTCATAGAGAAACAAATAAATACCAATGAAATTGCAGCCAACAAGTTTCTACAAGGGCTTACTTCAACGTAGAGGCCACCTTCACTCCATCCATCAATTTTGGAACGCCCTCCTTGTCCTGAAGAAATAAGTGCTTTGAGGCCTGCTATCCACACTTCAGTCTCAACTTTGTCCTTGCAGATCTAGAACAGAACAAACCAATCAAAGAAACAAAACGATGAGAATCTATTTCAATGTGATGAAAACATAGATGGAAAATATCACTCACCAAATCAAGAGAACGTTTCCCGTTGTTATATATCAGAGAAAATGAAAGATAGTCCTTGTCGGGACGTAGATAACGTCGGAAGACAGCCTAGTAGCACATTTGAAAAGAAACATTACGTTAAAATTTTCACTTACTGAAAAGGAAATGCAAGCATGTGCTCAAACATAGGATTCAACAAACAAACATATCCAAGAAAAAGAAAGGGGCACCTTGGACATAAAGAATACTCAAAGATTATAGATGCTTACAGTTCTTTGTCCAGGAATAATTCTAGAGACCAAGGTCAATTTCAAGCTTCTTTCACCACTGCTGGAAATCCAAATTAAAGATGATTCATCCTGTGTGGATTTAGTTGTAAAGTCAATAGCAATCATCAAATGACAATATAGAAAATAGCAACACTCAATTCTGACAGACAGCAAATACTAAAAGTTCACATTCAAGAGAAGATCATCACAGTAGATACTTGATACAAGACAGCAACTACACACAATGACTGTCATGCAAAATATCAAATTCCATAATTGCATCTACTTATTCTTCTAGATGGTGTGTCTATTGGGACAAGAATTGTGGTGACATTCCAAGTAAATATGAACAAAATAAAAAAAATAGATGATCTGGCAATTGAACAGAAACTCATAGTCAATTACAATATTGAGCAATGAACACTAAAAAATCAGAATGCAGGTCCAACTCTTAGAATCTGAATCTACTCACGGATTCCAATAGAATGCGTCTGTAAATGCTAAATATTTGCATCACAAGTGCTCAACCAACTCCCCCACAAAGTGAAGAAGATGAAAACCAAGATTAAGAAGCTGGCAAGCATGGAAATGAGCTAATGAAGTGGAAAGATAAAGGCCAAGAAGAGAATTTATAAGGTAATTCAAAAGGCAATGCTCTATTGTCAATAAAGTGAATATAAAATCAACGCATACCGTCAAAACCATTGGAACTTAGCATGCCATGGGTTGTTTATTTCTGAAGACATGATATAGAAAGAACACCGCCATAAAAAATGCACAATTTCAGTGTAATACAGATTACTGTCGTACTAAGAGCATGGTTACTTCTCAGGGTCAGTGAAAAAGAAAATGGATGGACACAGTGGATACTACCACATACATACCTGATCCTCTCTGGTACTGGCTGTTGTTTGTTTTTTTTTTCCTTTTACATTGAATATTTGAGCCCTGGATCTGCAATTACTTTAGGGGTACTTCTCAACTCAATATGTGAGGCGACACAGAAGCCATGCTAGAATTCTAAGGTGATAGGAATATAGGATAGGTCTAAATTGTCTCATCTTGAAGTAGCAACACATGACCTGTGACTTATCATATGGTAACTTCAATGTACAGTTCACTCCTATAACATGTAGTTTGACTATGTAATCATAAACATATTGCATGTAAGATTGATCTTTTAACTTGCGGAAAAGCGAAGATAGTGATGCATATACCAGATGCCTACTCGGTGGTTATTGTTATTTGAGAGCACAAAACATGAGTGATATGCTATACATAAACGCACACGGCAGACGTATAGAAATAAATAAAATTCATCTACCACCCAAAGTAGGGTTTCCTAACTGCTTTACATTGTCGTATCATGCAATTATTGTTCATACATATCCGCACACTGGTGAAGTGTTATATTATTATATACACACACACTTTTTGCAGGTGGCAAATTGATCGTTTTTTCTTTAGTCGTACACTTTTCCCAGGGAGCTGGACCATATAGTTGGAAAAAGCAAAAAAGGAAACTTTAATGCCAGATTTGATTAATAGAACAAGTTCGATAACTCACATGAGAAAGTCTAAATGGACAAAATTTGGGCTTCCCCTTGCGACCATATTTAAGTAACTGAGCGCCCTTCTTCAGAGCAATTAGTGCCTGCAAAATGCAACAGTGCATTTAAGCATGGAAATGCTAGTCACAATATTATCTAAACATAGATAACCGTCATCAAGCTACAACAACCATTAAATTTCCGATAAGACGTGTGATATCATTTGAAACTTTTCACATGATAGTTGCAATATCATGTTAACAAATAAACCATCCATCAAGCTATAACATTTGTTAATTTTCTAGGAGACTTGTGATGTCATGTGAACATTTCCACATGATTTACATTCAAATGTTTAAATGCATTGGCACATTGCAAATGCACATAAAACATTTGGTATATAGTTCATATGCAAAGTTCCCCATGTATGCATCATGAAATGGAAATAGAGATGTCCTGAAGAACCACCAGAAAATATTTAGCGTCTCATGCTCCAGCACAATTCAACATCGTCCTTGTACAAATTAGCATTCATCCAAAGAAATAACTTTTCAACTATTGGCATTCAGACATGTCAGCTAGTGCAATTGAACCCAAGCAATTTTTCAAGATGGGATAAGTTTTTAACCAATACATATGCATGTATTTATATGGTAACTTATTCATTAGATATAAAACCCAACCCACAACAAATATCTTGGGTCATCTAAGAATTTCAGACTACTAGACATTTAATTAACCACAAGGGTGGTGCCCGATTGGTTTGAGTTTGGCTCCAAAGGTCAAAAGTACCAGGAGGTCCAGGTTCAAATCCAAGAAGGAATAAAAATCTCATTGTGGCCATGGAGGTTCAAATACGGTGACTCCGGGCTATCTGCAAAGCAGGTGGCCGCCCTGGGATTAGTGGGCTCGAACAGCGGGTTGGATATTTTGGTTAATCAAAAAAAAAATTAAATCCCAAACTGGTATATGATGGCTATTTCATGAGTTAGAAGCCACAGATGTTTCCTCCATCCACAAGGATAACAGAGAACTATCCTTCTCCAATGCCATCCAGTGATCCCCAAAAATTCAACTACTCTACCAGAAAATACTTCACGAACGTACAAAACCAAAAACCCTAAGGAAGACACCAAATTCCCCAGCATCTTCAAAACAGTTTCAACAAATACACAAAGTCCGGATTCTTTTGTTGATATTTTAAGGCGCCAATGCAAGTTCTGTCGATTGTATCTCACGAAAATCGCAGATTTTTCTAAATTATGCTTCGAATATACTGCAGTTCCATAGAGAAAAGATACTGTGTTTAAGAGGGTCAACAAAAGTACCTGCTCAGTGTCACGGTCGGCGTTACCGTAGCTAACAAGATCTGCCATTCCATGTGACAGATTCACCAGACCACCACCAGACTTCTCTATAATCTCCGGTCATCATCAATGGCGAGCACGCTTTGTCGTTCGTACACTACCATCAACCTTTTACTTCACATGTAACTTCAAACCCTCAAAACATACAAAATTTTATTCACAACAGTGCTAGAGAAACAAAAGTAGTCCTTTAGAACCCGAGAAATCACCAACTCCGCCCCTCAGATCTACAAACTGTGACAATAATCCTTTAGCGTTGAACACTTTTGATTAATCTTGGAAGATTTCAGCGGCCGTTTGACTGTGGACGAGAAATGGGGGAAAGTCAGATGTTCCAAGGCTAGTTTCTTTTCAACAAGTGATAAGAAGATTGATGAAGGAAGATCACCGAAGAGGATTAACGGCGGTTGCGGCCGTGTAGCAGATGAATTGACGACGGAGGGCGATGAAATCGGGTTGAAGAAGGTGGTCCCGTCGGAGTCAAATGTGGCAGAAAAGAGGATTTCTGGCCGTTTGGCGGAGTAAATATTAGAATACCAATTTCATTTTTCATTTTATAATTATTAGGTGTGTATTCGCACAATGTGGCGGGAGCCATGAATTTTAACGATATATTTAAAATCCAACATATTTAAACGACTTTACAAATGTATTCAATTTACACCAAAAGCAAAGAACCAAGAAACTTGAGTTTTAAGATAAACACTCAATACTAATAAAGAAAACTACAAATTTGACAGATCATAAGCTATGAAAAGACAAAAAAAAGATAGGTTTTAAAATGAAATTTCAACTGCTTATCCTCTTTCTTGTCTAGAAACTTAGATTATGGTTCAATTAATACATGTATATATATATATATATATATTTCAAAAAAACCCAAGAACATATTAGTTCAGAATATATTAGTTCAGAACATATTATACATTGCAATTTTGACAGCCTAACCCCAAAATATATAGTATATATAAATAAATAACTATAAAAGTATAAATCGTAAATATTAAAAATATTTCTTCACAGTATATATAATATATAATAATATAATTAAGTCAAAAACTATTCAATATTGGACTCATTTCGAAGGTATTAACGAGACGATTATAATGGTGTAACTTGTTAAAATAAAAATGTATTTTTAAACATGTTTTAATTGATATACGATTATGTATGTTAATTTGATAAAGGTTTAAAATGAAATATTTAAAAGTAAATGACGTAAAGTAAATTAATTAACTAATTATAAG